GTTCGCAGCGTCGGGCTCCCAACTGTCTTCAGGCAACAGCGTCGCATCAAAGTCATCATCCTCGTCCACGTCGATCTCCACAGTGGGCCGCTTCGGGAATAGTGCTCTGGGTTTCAAACGGCTCACGTGTACCCAGGGATTCACGCGATATCCTGTGTTTTTGACCCTGAGTTTCACGCGGAAGTTGTCATGGATTTCCTGAATTCTGAAGGGGCCATGCCACATGTGAGCCAGTTTGCGACTCTGCGCTTTTGGTATATACTGCCACACAGCATCACCGGCTGCGAATCCTGCCTTCAGTCGTTCGGACAGCTCTCTCCACTTCCTGGTTTGTTCGGCAGAGCGCGCGCGCTTGGTTTTCTTCTGAAGATCCTCAGCGCAAGCTTGTGCATAACTATAGCCACGCTGTAGCTTCCTGCGCCACTTGTACGCAGTGCGCTCCTGGATACTCGAGGGCCTGGGTCCTAACATTGCAGACACCGTGCCGTGTGCGTCCCAGCCGTGCACCAGAAAAAACGGAGTGTCCAGGCGAGTGGCATCGAACGATGTATTCAGGGCAAACATCAGGCGCTCAGCATGGTCGTCCCAGTCACTCTGGTCTGCCTCAGCAATGTACGCTCGAATGCTGCGCACGACAGTCTGCACCGACCGCTCCTGTTGTCCGTTCGCTTGGGGGCGATACGCCAGCGTGGCTCGCTGCTTGCTACCCAAAAGTTCATGGAAGCGCGTGAACACATCACTCATGAACCTTGGGTCTTGGTCGTGCCTCAGCATCGAGCTCGCGCCGAATCTCCTGAAGACCTGCTCTTCGTACACTTCAGCGACATCTTGCGCCGTGGTGGAACTCATGGGTTTACACATGACGAAACCTGAGAACGCATCCTGAAAAAGCAGCAGGAACGTGTTCCCACGGTCCGACTTAGGCAAGTGTGTCGCAAAATCCATAGACACAACTTCAAAAGGGCGCCTCGGTTCGATGTTCCCAGGGGAAGGCCCTGGATTCTGAGGGCGCCCCTTGCCGCTGGCGCAATCCACACACTCTTTGACGAAAACTTCCACATCAGCGTACATGCCGTGCCAGTAGAACTCAGAGCGCAGCTTCTCGTACGTCCTCGTGATCCCCTGGTGCCCACCCTGAAAATCTTCGTGAGGGTAATGCAGGATATACGGTCGCAGAGCTTTCGGCACCACGAGTCTGAGTTTGTCAACCATGTCTCGGGGTCGATCTCTGGTAGACCGACTCAAGCGGTACAGGACTTCTCTGGAATCCAACACGAAATCATCAGCGACCTTCGCGAGTTTCCTGGCTTGAGCGTGCGACAGCTTCGTCGTGTCTCCTTTCAGGAAATCCTTGAGTTGCAGCAGGTGATCATCTTTGTCCTGGTGCACTTTGATGCGTCGCCAGCGTTCCGCCTGGTACTCCAGAGGTCCCATGGGTTCGCTTTGGGCTTCGATCTCCTGAGTTCGCGCCCGAGTCATTACTGCAAACACTTTGGCCGCCACAGGCAACGGAGCGCACTCAGGTCCAGGGATACCCAGAGTTTCGACACCCTGAGAATCACTCCCCTGAATTCCAACGTTCAATAACACCTTCGGTCTTACCAACTTCTCGTGAATCTTGGACACCAACTGCAGATGTGTTCGTTCGTCAGCATCCTCCACCTTCCAGGATTCACCAAGCGCGAGGGTCTTAGACGTCAGGTAGTCTGCGGCTTGGTTAAACTCTCGCTTGACATGCACCAGCCGCACAGACTTGAACTTCGTCTTCAGCTCTTCATACTCGGCCAGCTTCCTCTGGAGATTCGGCTGATTGCAGTTGATGAGACCCTGGGCTTGCTGGATGGCAATCCTGGAGTCCCCAACCACAACGATGTCCTGAATTCCACGCTCAATCGCCAGAGTGAGCCCTTCACAGGTCCATGATACTCAGCGTCATTCACAGTCACGTCCTCCAGGATGAATCCCTGGGCATCCAGGATTTCCCAACCAGGGACATGCCACAGAATGCAGCCACAGCTCCCTTGTCGCGTGGAAGTCTCAGCGGCGCCATCGAAACTCAGAATACACCCCTCATAGTCCGCTTCCAGCATTTCCATACTGATAGGCACTGGAGGTTTAACGCGCCCCTAGGCTGGGATCAGGTTTTCAGCGATCTCATCCAAGTGTTCTCTGGGGGCAATACCCGCACCTAGAATTGCAGCCAAGCCGTCTTCATCCCGTTGAACTCTGCGTATCTCCAGGTTCCAGTGGGACCACTTCACCGTTCGACCGTCTGCCGACTGAGATGTCAGCAACCATTTCAACAGAGAATATCGCGTGTAGACGACGATCTTAGGGCTGCCTTCAACCAAAGTGCGAAACATTTCCAGGACCCTCAGGATAGCAATCACCTCCTTTTCCGCAATGTGATACCGCAGATCAGCGTCATTCAGGACGCGACCTGTGAATCGGACCGGGTGATAATCCCGTCGTACTCCTGACCCAACACAGCGGATGTTGCCCACGGGTTCGTGTGGGGAATAATCACGAAGGGCCTTGAACGATCAGGATGTCTGAGTAACGGAGTCGAAACAATCTTGTGCTTCAGGATTTCAAAGGCTTCCTCGGCTCTCGACAGGTCTCTCCTGGATTTCACTTGTTCCTCAGTCAGCTCGTACAAGACGGCCGCGATCACGGGTAGATCTTCAATGAACTTGTTGTAGTAATTCAGACTCCCCATGAAACTCTGGACGCCTTTCAGTGTCGTCGGGAACGGCAAATCTTGGACCCCCTTCGCGATTTTAGGGGTCGCTCGGATGCCCTCAGCACTAATCTCGTGAGAGAGGTACGGAATGAGAGAGGTACGGAATGGACAACTTCCCGAGTTCGCTCTTGGGAAGACTCACAGAGATATTCCAGTAACGTAGTCGGAAGAGCATCATGTTCAGATCCTGGCACAGCTGCTCCCAAGTAGGCGCACCGTGGGCGATGTCGTCGATATACGAGCTTCGACCCAGGACAGGGCCCATCTGAGAGGGAGCCGGGATGTTACGCTGAAAAATAGTCATCTCATCCGTCAACACTGAAAGTCGCGGTGCATTTGCACCTGAAACTCTGGGTTTCCCAGAGTTCAACCCTAAAAAGTCCAAGACATCTTGGTCGACCTCAGCTTCTTCCTCAGGGGAAAGCCGCAGAAATCCCCACAGACAGTTATTGAGAACTGCCTGGTAGATCAGCGGCGCGTTCTTGAGGCCGAACGGCATCCTGACCCACTGGTAGTGCCCATAGGGATAGACGAACGCAGAGATCAACTTGGCTCTCTCGGTCATCTTGATAGCCCAGAAACCACTCGCCATGTCCAAGCTCATAAACCACATCGCCGACTCAAAGCCAATCAAAAGATCATCAATAAGCGACAGCGGATAGTGTGAGAGCTTGATGACGCCATTCACCACGCGATAGTCGATGCACATCCGGATGTCGACGCCATTCTTCTTGAGGCCGATCACGATTGGATATGCCCAGGGGGACGTAGAAGTCTTGATCAGCCCGTTCTCCAGAAGCTTCTTCAGAAGTTCATACACCTTAGTCCACAGGTGTGGTGCAATGGACCTTGGACGCTGGGCAACAGGTTTAGCGTCGCCTACATCCAGGACACAAACCACTCCACGGGCAGGTGGGGGAGCTGCATTGCCGTCTTCCAAGAAGATCTTCCGATGATATTCCAGAATTCGCCTCACTTGGTCTTCCATCTCGGGCGTCGTTTTCCCAGGGACTCCAACATCTGCCTCCTCGATCTTGCACTCAGGGGTCAATTCACGCATCTCAGGAAGCATAACCAACTGGTCACGCAACTGAGAGAGCAACTCACTTCCTTCACGTATGTAGACCGCAGGCTCGTAGTCGAGGTCCTCTGTCGATAGCCGCATGCAGCGCTCATATTCCTGCTTCAGCTTCTCCAACGGAGTTCCCGGCATCCCTGAGATCAGGATATCCCAGTAATCTTAAACAGCACCCTGAGAATCGTCGTCATCCACATCGAATCCCAGAGAATCACCTTCGTCGCACCACTGACCCTGAGAATCACTGCCAACTTCAACCTGTAAACTCAGGGTTTCAGCGGCCGTGTCACCTTCAGGACTCATGCCCTCTGGGGTTCCGACAGTCTGCGAGGCAACATCGGTCACCGCCTCGTTCAGAACGTCACCCAAGTCACTCGTATCAACAACAACATCTCGGAGTTCAGGAGGGTCTTCAGGAGGCACTCCTTCAGTCTGAGTTGCAGCGTCTTCAGCGAAGCGCACGTGACGAGGCTTCGGTTTCCTGAGAATCGAGGCAAGCAGTGCCATGTCGGGGCCCTTTGCAGGTCGCGGCAGAATCTTCGTAGGCCATTGATACTCTGGGGTCTCGACACAGGATGGCTTAAGCGCAGCCAGGCGTCCCGCCCGAAGTCTGCCCTCACGCGACTGAACACTCTCCAGAATAAGCGTCTGCCACTCCCGATACGCAAACGAACCAGGGCGCACAAAGCGTCCGGCACGTGGGAAGAAGCCGTACTCCACAATTCGGGCGACTGGCGTTCTGTTGTGAATCCAGACGTCCTTGTCCGAGATGTTGACCACCTTCACGGCGACCGGCCAGGATCTCGCAGCGTAAATCAGGTGCGTTACCCAGCGGTCACCTCGTCCTGCCCACACAACATCACGCTGTGGGTTCGTCGGCCCATACGAGATCTTCACCACCTTGGATTCCCCAGGGGTCAGGTACCAACTACCTGTGGTTTCCACGGGCATGTCGACACCCAGGCGATCCTCTGGACATCATGATCGCCTCTTCATCCGGAAGTGTCACGAGACCTTCGCGAACACTGATCCTCACTCCAGCTGCAAACATGAAACTCATACCCAGAAGAACTTCGATCCCTTCGCCGATGTTAGCAATCCAGACATCCAGGAGATATATCACCCTCGAAGCGAGAGTAATCTTCACCTGAGGACTGGCACCGATGTACGTCGGAACGCCTACACCTTGGTTTGCTTGTGCGACTTGAGTGTGAGTCCGAGCTTACGCGCTAAGTCGAAGCTCACAATATTCACAGTCGCACCGGTATCCAGGAGAACTCTCGTCCGGCAGTCGTTCACAGCACCATGCACCATCGCCACATCACGTTTCTTTGGGTCAGGATCATTGTTTTCCCACCATCCGTAGCGCTCTCCAGGGTTCAGCTTGTACTCCACAATTCCTTCAGAGTTCACCGACCCAGCGTTCGCTTGTTCAGGATGCTGATTTTCAGGGGAAGTCATGAAATCCTGAGTCAAAGTAGTCATGCATTGTTGGTTATCTTGGGTTCTTGTTCTCAGCTCCGGGCCTACATACACTAGAACACATAACTCTGGGGCCTTCTTCAGCCCGGCGCGTACTGGGTCCCCACCCCGCGCTTTGCAGTACTTCTTCCTGAATGCAGACGCCAACTCCTTCCAGTCACGCTGAGTGTGTTTGGACAACTGGTTGAACCAGTCACGCGCAGCTCCCGAGACTTTCAACTTGAGTTCCTGAATTCGCATCTTTGTAGACCAACCTCTCTGAGCCGCCATGTTCGCAAAATGCTCCCACCAATGTACGCGTTCCCTGAGTGACGCCTTAGTATCGAACTCACCCAGAGTATTCGAGTTGATGTACGGTCGGAACGTCAGGAGCGTAGTGCCAGCTTGAGCCGTAGAGGCCGTCGTCAGGTTAACCCCAGGGTTCCCGTCCGAACTGTCATCCGAACTCTCAGAGGACGAGTCATCATCGCTGGAATCGGAGCTTGGGTCTGAGTCCGAGGGTGGATTGACATCCTGACGCTTCTTCTTCTGCTGCTGCTGGTGTTTCTTGGGTGCAGAGCGCTTGGAGTCTGTTTTAGAGTCCTGTGAGGCCTTAGAGGTCGCTGTTTTCCTGGGATCCGACGTCTTCCCCAGAGACACAGGCTCGAGCTTGACATCCTGCGTCACCTTGGTCTCCGTAGCGCCATGTCCCCGCTTGACGCGCGCGATTCTGCCGGAAGTGTCGGCGGAAGTCTGCGCGAGGGTCGCTCTTAGCTGGGAGGCGGCGACTTCGGAACTGTTCTTCGGATCAGCTGTCTCCCGTCTCTGGCCTGTGACACTTGCGTTTCCGTTGATTACGCCACTGGAATCGTGGGGTCGAGTTGCAACTTCAGGGTTCTGAGCCACCGACGACCTCACATTTGTTGCCAAATCAGGGGCGACGGTTGCGCGACGCGCTTGAACTTGGGCCAATGTTGCACGAAGGTCGCGCACTTGGCCGGCGTGGAAGCGCTGGATATTCTTGGAAGACTCCCGCTCTCGCTCTTTCTCCGCCTCAAGTTCTTGGACCTTCTGCTCCATAGTTGACATTTGTTCCTTCCAACCGGCGTAGGTCTCGGAAACCCAGCGCGCGCGCTCCGAGTCGGCTTCGGCTTCGTGCCGTCGTCAGCGCTCGGCGTAGGCGGCATCCAGGCGCTCACGCTCAAGACGTACAGCTTTCGTGATACTCTGGGTCATCCCCTGAGTTTCAGTGGAACTCTGGGTCTGGCGAGCCTCCACGTCCTGCGCACGCCGTTCCGCTTCTCGGGCGATCTCAGCGTGGGCTAAGCGATCCGTAAGTTCCTGGATCTGGCGACGCGCGTCCAGGTCACGTTATTCCCTGAGGCGCTCGCGCTCCAAGGCATCCAGGCGTTCTCTGGCGAGAAACTCGCGTTGCTCCTGTTCCATGCGGGCCTGCCACTCCTGCTCTTGTCGCAAGACGTTCAGCTCGATTTGGGCGGGCCCAGACCTCGCGGACACGGACGAAACTGACCCAAGATTCCTGGATCCACTCGAGCGGCTCGACGCAGATGATTTTCTGGATTTCGTCGGGCGTCGAGAGCGCACCTCGTTCTTAGAGCTCTGGTGTTGACTCCGCTCATCGGCGCTGACATCCCTTGGACCACCAAATCCAGCAATCGGGGCAGAAACCCTGAGTTTCGGCTCGGAAGTCGTGGCTGAAATCCTGGGGAGACCGTCCTTCCTGGGTGCAATCTCTGGGTCAGAGTGCACCGACGATGCCATCTCAACGTCATCTTGGTCGACTGACACAAGACGCGACGGGATGACTGTCCGGGTGACCTGAAATCCAAGATCACCGGCAGCTGCGAAGCCACCGGCACTCTGGGCCACAAGCGCTAGAGCTCCAACTCGTTGTCCAAGCGACATCATCGACGAAGACGAAGAGCTACCATAAGACGTTTGAACGCCCAAGGCAGTACTCTCATCCGAAGCGCGCGAGGTACCGATGACACTTGGCACCGCGTCTGGGGTAGCGTCCTTGGCTTCCGCCTCCAGAGAATCACGTCCATTGTACATGGAATTCAGGGGAGTGGAATTCTGAAGCGAGGCACCAGTCGAAGACTTGTACGCTGGAAGAGAGGACAGCGACGGTGTAGACAGCGCGGATGGCGTTGACGGGACTTGTGGCCGAGGCGGTCCATGCTGAGTACGCTTGGATCATGGCTCACCATCACTCGACCCTCGTGGGCTCCGTGAAATCCTAAGTCCAGTGACTCTGAATCTCAGGACAAACTGTCGGCCCAGTAGATCCGCATCGTAGTCCGTCATCAATAGATCACCGTCTCCATCTTCCTTGTGGTAGTCCAGTCTTGGTGCTTGCTCTTGGGCGCTTGGTGCGGCGTGATCTTCAGAGTTTACCTTGAAAGGCACACCAGCTATCACCAATCTCCACTCGACCAGTTCCACAGCGATGAAATGCTGGGTTTCCTCCATGACAGAGCGCACCAGACTTTCTGGAATCCTGGAAGCACGCGTCGAAGACCAGCCAGGGATCAAATTGACAAACTCAAATCCGGCTTCGAAGAACAGAGTCTGCAGAATGGCGACGCACTCGCGGGTGGTCATGATACTCTGGGGAATCGTAGTCGCCATGAGATCCTGAGCAGTTCCGACGCCCCACCGGACGAGGTGAAACTCAGAGATCCAGGCTTCATCTTGATTCTCCAGAGACAAACGCCACTTGAGGTAGTCTCCCGTTGCGTACGCGGCCGCGAAGTACGAGTTGGCATCCGTTTCGGTGTCGGCCACTCATAAACGACACTTGGCGGCGTCACCTTCCCAGGATTCACCTCTTCCCAGCGTCGAACTTCACGTCGAACGTACAGCACCATGCTCCCGGCGTCGAAACGCCGCTGCTCTCGATTCCGGAGCAGGTGCAGCAACTTCCCGGGTGTCGCTTTTAGGCGTCTTCCTGGGTGCCGCCTGCGAACTTGGCGCTGAAACTCTGGGTTCAGGTGGTGCGAACCCAGAATTCACCTTGGAACTCTGAGTATTCGCCTCCTCCTTCGCTCGCACGGACTCCGACTTCACTTCCACAACAGACTCGTCCGAAGATGAGACCAAGTCAATCACCTCCGGGGGCTCAACCGCATTGGCGCCTCCCTCAGACGCCTGAGCACCACCCTCGCGGGTGTGCTCCTCTGGGACTTCAGGAATCCGCGACCCAGAATTCACCTCCGTCGAACCTTGGAACCCAGGGGAAACTTCTTCCTCCTGAGTTTGCGATCCAGCAGCGGGCTGACCTTGGACTGCAGACGCCTCGACGTCCCCACCTTGCACTGCCTCGCTCTCGCGAGCAGCCTGCTTCACCTTCCGAGCGTCGCGGACGACTGTTTCCAGGTCCTTGTGCTCCTCAGGCTCCATACCTTGAACACGACGCGACTGACGTGACGCCTCACCGCGTCCACTCTTCTTCGCCCCTCGTCCTCCAGGCATCTTGGTAGCTTGAAGTTGACGGCCACTCAACACTTCTTCAACACTTGATTCCGGTGAAATCCTCGACAATCAAATCGGGGCACGCGCACCAGCTGAGGCGAGGCCGATGAAACCTTTGTCGCCCAGGGGGGTTCGTATAGCGCAGCCCAAGACTGTTCCCCAGGGGTAGACCCAGAGAGTCGACTTGAGAGTCAACAGCAAGAAGATAGACCCCGAGATTCGCAGCCGCAAAAGCTTTAAACCCTGTAAATCACACTCCTTGGTTGGCGTGGGTACCTTGTGTAATCCCTGTCGGCTCGTTTGTCTTCGACGGAACGGCACTCCACCGGTTGAAAATGTAGCCTCGAAGAAGTGCGGGAGCGCACGTCTACTTCAGAACGCACCTCCACACCAAAAGGCAAACCCAGAGAATCAGATCCCCTGAAACCCAGAATATCACGAATTCAGGGTCCAGGATTTCAGTCAACTCTGGGACTTGGAACTCAGAAGACACCTTACCCAAATGCCCTCCTAGCTCGATAAAACCAACAAATACAGAGTATACAATCACTACAACTAGCCGTCACTTATTCTTTTGGACCCTTGGACGGTGGGTCACACACACACTAGGCTCACTCGAGTCTGAAATTCAGGGGCCTAGCTCCCCTGAGACTCACACAAACGCGCACCACCTCCAATAAAGGAGGAAAATACAATCACTATCAGTTACCTTCCCTTCACACAAGCAGTCAATACAAAATCCTGGAGGCGACTACCTAGCACCCCAGAATACCCTCTGGAATAATATGAAATGGGCTACCACGAGCACAGCAAGTGACCCAACTAGGATATGGAATAGATGGATCACCCCAGGAAGCTCAAGGCCGTCGCTGGTCACCACCTAACTGGACTTGAGTTTGATGGAGCCCACACAGACGGCTGTCCTTCGCCATTGATGTGCCCTTAGCGTCCCGCGGTCGTAGTCTCGGGTCCTTCGGATTTCCGTCGGCAGGCTTGGCCGAAGTCACTTGCGCAGTACAGGGTAAAATGAACTCTGTTTGGTTTTTATCAGCTACTTCTCTCTCTCTCTCTTCTTCGGGCAAATATCTTCTGTTCACTATGCTTGGGGTCAAAATGTCTTGTCTTGAGTATACCTTGGGATCAGCGGTCCAATCTTGCGATCGGCTTGCGAATCCATTGTCGCACGGCGTCGAAAGTGCCAATTGTGGGTCCTTAGACTTGGTTTAGTATGGTGCAGGACTCCCTCTCGACTCCTCGAAAGTATCCAGTCTGTGCATCCATGACGGTTCTTCAAGGTCACGCATCATTTTGATTGCAGACTGGCTTCGAACTGACTCGAATCCCTGAAAATCAGGTGACACTCAGGGTCATCTTCTGAAATCCTGGGAATTCTGAGGAATCTTGGGGAACTGTGGGGATTCTTGGGTGTTGGCTCGGGAAACACTTAAGTTCAGTATAGAGAGTCTGGATTTATGGTCCAAACCCAGGGAATCATCTTTGGAACTCTGGGTCACCTGCACTCAGGGAGGTGAACTCTGGGTCATCGTGCGGCACTCTAGGTTTTCCGTGCGGCACTCTGGGTAACAAGTCTGCTGCAGTGCAGACTCGTGTGTATCTCCTCAAAGCCACACTTTTAGTGGGTTTAGTGGCCTCCTGCGCATGATCATGGTAGTAGTGGGTTGATTCTCAGGGTAATTTGATCCTCTGGGGCACTCTGAGCCACAGCAAGATGAGGCGTACTCTGGGATACATTCTCCAGAGACACTTTCCGCCAGACTTTAGGCACTCATCGTAAGGGAAAGTCCGCGGCTGGACTGAGTGTTCTCTGAAATTCTGGGTGTGCACTCCCAGGATTCACACTTCCAGCCAGTTGGGCCCATCTGCGGTCAGACGCTGGATTTATCCCGAGAAATCACTTCTATCCCACAGTCGCCATCCATGTCACACGGGTACAGCCGCGCCGTATCCAAGTCATCCACCAATCAGCATCCGATACAAACTCCAGGTCACAGAGATGACGGTACATGGTCGGCGATTTTCTGGGGACCGCCTCGTGGCATTTGCACCAGGCTTTAGGCGGATACGCATTGGCGGCACTTTAGCAGGAGGATCCGCACCCAAGCGAACTCGAAACAAGTCGAAGCGCAGCGCAATGCGAGCGAGCTCCTTCTTAAACTCACGCGGAAACTCCTCCTCAATTGCCAGGTCCACCAGCTCAAGAATAGCAGCTCGAACGTCTTCTTCATGCAGCACCCCTTCTCCAACCGTAGGTTCATCTGCATCATCAAATTCATCTTCGTTCTCGTCGACTGCAAGAGGTACTGTCAGTAAGTCGATTTGCCGCTCAACGTCGATCACCAACTTAACCGACCGGCGACCGTTATCCCGATTTTGTTGGGATAAGAAAAACCTCGGGGGAAAGTGCCGGTTCAAGCCATACAGGTGGTTAGGGTAACTGCGACTCTTCAAGGTCCCGCCGAGAGCGTTTTGGCCAATGCGATCTGTTTGCGGATTTCTCACCTTGAAAGGTAGATGGGCATGGGTGCCGGACTTCCGCGCCACTATTGGCCACCGCACAAGCATTTACACCCGCAGATTGCCAGGTGCCCGCGAAGGATTAGCGCTTCTCCGCGATGGTAAAATTCTGAGTTGATAGGATGCACCGCTCACTAATGTTAACTTTCTTTTCCCTTGTATCATTGCCTTCTATAGATGCCTTCACACGCGCGAGGTACGCTGGTCGAGGAGCTACAAGTACGGCTCTGCCGGTGCCACTGCGAAGACCGAGTTGTTTCGATCGAGACCTGGACGCTCCTGTTCGTGGAGGAGCCCGACCGCTACTTCGGCAATGAACGTGAGGCGTCAGGTCTACTGGAGCTTTAGCAGAAGGGAGGCTGACGCTGAGAGATGTTGTGGACTCGGTAGGTGTGCGAGCTGGACACCATCTTCAACCCCCACAAGGTAAGGCGGCGTCTTGGCAGCTTTGGCGTTCATATCTAGGGGCTCATGCTGGTGTTGTTGTTGTCGACAGGCGTATTACATTCAGAACGAGCTGTTCACCGGCTACTCCCGGCAGGAGTTGAGCAAGGAGACGATCTTGCGCATCTGCGCCCACCTAAGCTACGTGCCCCCACCGCTGAAACCATGCGGGTGCTGACACTTCGCCCTAACGCGAGTCGACTCCACAGCGAATGTCCAAGCACGATGCCGAAGGCACGACGGTGGAAACAAGCGGCAGGGAGGACGCCAAGAGCACGGCAGGGACAGCGGGGTGTGGCAAGACTCCAAGAACGACAGATACAACGGCGGCTTGAAGCATGGAGTCTTCATGGTCAGCTGGGGTCTGGTTACGGAGCCCACGATGCCGTACGTCGACTCGAGTAAGCTCGTCCGCTACGAACACTTCATCTTGTATTGGGTTCTCTAGACCTCGTATGACAGCTCATGGGGCGACAGCAGCTTCATTACGCTGTCAAACTCAACTGCAGGTCGAAGTTGATTAGAGTTGTGATTGATTTTCATGCAATTTATACATAGTTGTTGGTTTGACCCTCGGCGGCAATGTTAGAGTAGTGATCGTAGTTACTGCATCGCCCATCTTGATTCAGCTGCGTACAGGTGTAAATCCCGAAGGGAGCTGCTGTAAGTCATCGGAACCTGAATTGTTTTCAGTAACTTCCACCGCTTGCAAAACGAATTTCGGCACGTATTACGATGCCGCGGACACACTCGTGTTGTCAGCGCCACCAGACGTAGATGAGGTAGCTTCATGTACAAAGCACGCATTGCCAAAACCACATCTTCTTCGAACACCGTGTCGTGGCAAAATAAAAGGGTGGCGGAGCTGATAAGGGAGCTGGGTTGAACCAACTTCGAGTCTGGATCAGGACTGATAACAGTATCGCTGCCTTCCGGATGTCTGCGGTGACGACGCTGATCTTGAGCAAGTGTGGAAAGCGCGATGCCCTAGACGCAATCAGCTCCATACCTCTAGCGGCCAGGTCATGTTGGATCTCAATACCAACCACACGAAATGCTTGCGTTTGCAGAGCGATTTGAGCGAGAACATTTCCCACGCCGGATACAGCATCCAGAAACACGTCATTCACTTGAATATTCGCTTCTTCGATCAGCATGGACACCCCACCCATTGTAATCTCCCCGGTATTTAGCTGACGTTCACTCGCGCGCACATCACGCCTGGTGAGTAGGCAGAATAGTTCTTCAGTGGCGTTGAAGGTTTCTTGCGGTGATAGGATCGAAATGGTATGTGGTGAAGGCGAAGACCGTAGAGGAGGCGCGGCTTTGGCTTCCAAATGCAGTCCTGCTCGTTCTGGTGGCGGGCGGAAATAGCGTGGGGGGAAACTCAGCATGTTATTGCCATATCGTCTCTTGAGCGTCTGGATTCGCTGTTACAGTTTGGTTGCGCTCCATGTTGACGGCCTCATGTCTTTCTCCACTGACACCCAGTCGATTCGTCTTCCCGCTTGCTCGTACACCGCCGCGAGCTGAACGAGTTGGCGATCCTCTTCATCTGAAAAGTCGGCTATTTTTCGCTTCGGATACTGTCTATACAAACTCAAGTAAAACGACCCTTTGGGGGTTCATACTGAAACCGAGTTTATTTTTTTGGATTTGTAAGTCAACGTAGGGTCGCTGTCGACCGAGTCAATGTAGACTCGTTCAGAGTCGACGTTGACTTCGCTATTACTGAAACTAGTACGTTTGAGTAGACTTGGTTTAAGTCCATGTTGACTTCGCGATCAATAAAACAAGCGTATTCGAGTCAAAGTTGACTCGCTCTAAGTCCTCGGTGACTTGAAAATGTGTATTCATTCATCGTTACGCAGCAGCACACACAACTACAGCAGAGTAAGGATTAATGGTTTTCTCCAACACGCCCAATGCTTCCATAATCTCCGTGCATACATACGCGTATCTGCCGTGGTCCATCGAGTGGATGACGGTCCATGTCTTGTCGTGGTCCAACTCATTTCTTTTCTCCCAGAACTCGACCGCAAGCGCCTTGAACTCTTCAGCGTCCGCTGTCTTCGATCCAAACGCCTCCTTCATTTTGCCCAGAATGACGTCGCGCGTCTTCTGCATTGTGCTCGTGTTTCCTACATTTTTTCAATCCAGAGACAATGGGAATCAACACAATGTCAAACCACACTGAAGCAAAAACTCAAGCGGCTTATCATCTCGGATGACGGCGTTCCATTCCGTGAACTCTTCGATAGATTTCTCGGTCACCGCGCTATGCTTGAACATACTCAAGTACAGCTCTAGCCTCGCGATGGTGTCTTGTAATCCGCTGTTCTCCGTTTTCACCGCCTCTAGCGCAGCCTTCATCGATTCCAACTACGTTCTCACTCCATCCCGTTCTGCTTGCATCACCGCCCTCTCTTCCTCGATCCGGTTGCGGTTGGCTTCGAGCTCTTTAAACGCAGCTGGGCACCCGTTGTTCTTGAACTGCTCTTCCAGGAGCCGGGTCTGGCGCTTCATTTCATTCAAAATCTTCGCCTGCCTCAGCGATATTCGGCCTCCTTGTTGCTTCTCTCGACTCGGCTTCTCTCGTTTCTTTTTATCCCCGTCCAACTGCTCCCGCTCCCGTTGCAGGCGATGGGTTACGTTCTGGAGACGCCGGCCCTCCTCTTTGAGCTTGGCCTCATGAGATTGCAGCTCCTCGGCTTTGACTTGTAGTTCTTCCTCCTTGTTCTCCATATTCTTCTCTCGCGTAGCCACCTCGTTCTCGCGGTCCTCCAGTTTTTTCTTGCGCTCGTCCACCTCTTTCGTGAGGTTGTTCATGTCTTCGTGCACATCCTGGAGTTTCTTAGCATGACTAGCCTGCACCTTAAGTAGATTGTCTGCGTGCGTGGTGACGGATTGCTTCGACAAATTCAACTCAGTTTCCACATGGGCAAGTTTGTTGCGCAAGTCACTTGAAATCGCCTTCTCCTCGGCTAGTTTTGCAGCCGTCTTCTTCCACTCATGCGCTATCACGGTACATCTGTCGTCACCACTGTGACGAGACTGAGCGAGGTTTTACCTCAACCGGTCATCACCTGTCTACTGACCCGCCTGAATCCGCCATTCGGATTGGCCGAGACTGAACCCGGACCCGGCTGTACACCATGCGACAACACCTGAGCTGGAATTCGGCTGTGTTCCGCGGAGCGAAGTGTGCTCAAGCCTAGGATGGGCCCTTCAGGCCTGGAAGACTGCGTTCAGACAATAAACCCTGAACGCACTCGATCCGTCCAGGCCGCCCCCCGTCCTTAAGCGGGTTGACACATTGAGGCCGTCGAAAACACCTGCACGAACGTATCGTGTGCGGTGTCCCGCGTCGCCTAGGCCCTGAACACACATCGAATTCGTGTACCCGGAGCTCAGCCACCCCAGTGAAGTCAAGTGCAGAGTGTCCAGACCGCTGGGCACCCGGACGAAGTCCCGCCAAGTGCCCCACGACCAAGTGAAGAGTTAACCTACTCTTGGCCGCAAGGCCCTGAGTATGGTTTCAGCCTTGGGCGCAAGTTGCCTTTGGCCGCAGACCTTGGACGCACTGCGTTCAGGCCTGCCGACTCTGAAACCCGGTTTCAAGGAATGCGGGTTCAAGGGAACCTTGGCCACATGCGGCCAAGGTTTCTCAAGAGCCAGTCATGCACAAAGACACAGGCACATTGCAGCTGGGCAAGAATCCAGTGGGAAGTGTCTACGTCAACAGTTCCAGTATACTCAAGTCAAGATATTCGCCAGACGCGTGGCGAAGAACACAGAAGACCGCTACGAGAGAGATACCTTTACACAAAGCCTAGCGATAGTCTAGCAGATAACAATCAGAGAGTTCGTTTTAGCCCCTACTGCGCAAGTCGTCGAGGAATCGGGTCCGCTGTCTTTAAGGACAAGGGCAGTGCGGAGCTCCACACACACATTCAAGTCCAGTTACGTGGGAATCAGTTTACTCCGACTGCTGAAGTGATCCACGTATTCCATTTCCCAGTTGGGCCCATTGCGTTGAGGTAAGGGTGGTGTCCCATTTCATGTTAACGATTGATATCTCGGGTGGTTTGGTAGCAGTCGCCCCCTAGAATAGTTTGATTGACTGCGTTTAGGATCGGATTGCATTTGGTCTGTATATTTCCCTCATCTGAGGGTGGTGCGCGTGTGAAAGTGCGTTCAAGGTTGACCAGTACCTTGATCGCGGATTAGTTGACTGGTGTACGACCCACCGCCCAAGGGTCTAAGAATAAGTGGCGGCTGTGTGTTTGTGTATAACTCTGCATTTGTATTGGTTATCTGAAAGTGATGTGTATTTCTGGGGTTCTAACTCGTGGTAGTAACCCTGATCCTTCACTCACGCTTCAAGCTTCAGCCATTTCAGAGAAGTGCGTTCAGACAAGTGAACGTTACGCTCAACGCACTCAAGGCTTTCAACCCCACAGACAACTCACCTGGTGATCGATTCAGGCTCGCCGAAGATAAACGACACCGATAGGGATTCACAAGGTGCCACGCCACCCTGGCCGCATTTATTCCCAGAACCTGCGTTCAAGGAAATCTGCGTTCAGGGTTTACCTTCCCAAAGAGGTTTGCTCGTCAACCCTTTCTGGGCTACCGCTATACACCTGGGAGTAAAAGGTTTCACCGACCTCGTCACGCCACTGCCATCACCACTGCCATCATTCCTGAGTTCGGCCAGCTCCTTCGCAGCGGCTGCTAACTGCTCCTCTAATTTCCTTGAGCGTGCTTGTTCCTCCTCCAGCTGTCGAGCCCCTTTCTGCTTCTCTTCATCCAGCTTCTCTCGGAACTGCTGCAGTGCTTGCGAAATGTATTTTCAAGTTGCTCATACCCCCCTCGCAAAGGGTGGGTTTGCAGGCTCCGAGCTGGGGCACGTTCCTCCTGCACGGCCACGGGTGTCTGCGAGATTGGAGGCCCTGGAGCTTGGTCTGACGCTAGCGATGCTTGGTTTCTGGCTGCGGTAAGCTGCTGAGCCGCCTGGATGTCGCATTGCTCGATCGCCAGGTGCTCGGCTCCGCCACGTTGCGATAGCTTCGACGAACCCGATCCAGCGGTCTGCGCGTGTGCGTCTGCTTTCAGGGCTTGGTCTGCTAAGTAAACCTCGTAGAATTCTTTCAGCAGCGCAGGCTCGTGACGCTGGAGCTCTTCTGGGTTGTTTTTGAACGCCTTGAATTGAGTCAACTTGCTCAAAGCCTCGTAGTCCAAGTCGTTGCCGCTGTTCCTAGCAGCTGTGTATTTCTCCGCCCACACACGCTTCTGGTAGTCTGCCATCTTGTAGTAATCACCTGCCTTGCGCCGTGAGCCTTGCCGGTGCTCGCCCTTTTCGTCTGCGATCTTCTTTTGTAGAGCCAAGCACGTGGACCGGAGCGCGTGCTTGGGTACCAGGGGAGTCGTCTCTTCATCGCGAGTCGTCGCCTCGTCCTTCGATGTACTCGCGGCGCCCAACTCGCGCGTCGTCCCATTGGATCCTTCGCCAGTCTTCTTGGCAGTCTTCCTCTGCTTACGGGGGCTTGGCGAAGTGTCTGACGAAGTGTCTGACCCCTCCCCCTTCTGCTTTGCATTGCCGGTGGCAGGCGTGGTCTTGGCAGCGTTTGCTGACTTGTCAGTGGGCGCGATCGTCCGCTTTGTCGCTGGCTTGTCCGTCGCCTTTGCAGCTTTCTTGCTCCTCGTCATGGGCGCCTGGCGAGCAGCACCGACAGCAGTTCCCTCGCTCTCTGCAGCCTGAGATCGCTTCGCTATCAGCATCGCCATCAGCACTTTGCTGCAGTCAAGGTTCTTTGAGAAAGTGAAACCGCAAATCCTACAGTTGAAATAAATTGATGTGGACCAATTCGATTTAGAATCAAGAGGACTGTAAGTCAACGTTGACTTGGTATAAGTCGTTGTTGAGCTGGCTTCAGTAAGAAGTGTCTAAGCCAGCGTAGACACGTTCCAAGTCGTAGTCGACTTGGTGACTCAATCAGAGATGTACGAGTAGATGCACATGGTTGGCTTCACAAAAAGATGCAGAAGTGGTGAGATAAGCGCCAACACAAGAGTGGATACGTCAAATTAGAGATTTACTGAAGCTACCAGTCACCTCTTCGGCATTGCCGGAGCACGTTAGCGATCACGCATAAACTCTTCCAGCGTGATGATGTAGGTGGGGATTTCGGAAATGAGGTTTGGGATTGAGCGCGCGGAAACGATCTTCTGGCACGGATCGCAGCGCGAGCATGATTGGCCGCGAAATGGCTGGCCAATTACACGTCGCAAATTCAAACGATGGGGGCGCTGATTGGCGTAGATACCGGAGCGAACCCACGGGCGAAAATCGGCGTGTTGCGCGAACTCAAAGCGCAAGTTGGAAAAGCGCGCGAAAAGCTGTGTGTTGCGCGAAGCTCGATGGCTGAAGCCAGGCTGATACCACTTCGTGTGACCTTTGGATTGAGCCAATGCTGATTGGCTTATTAGCTTCAACTTCAACCCTCGATAAGCACTCCGAATTATAGTAGTTCTTGATTTAGTGACTACCTAGTACGAGGGCATTTCTTTTGCAGTTCTATAGTAACTTACTTTTGCAAGTTCTTCTGCAACAGAAATGATGGCAAACGGTGCCTGAACGTCGCTCGCCTCGCTACCTAGGCCAGTGTGGTGTCCTCACAAAACGCGGTACCCGTAGATATGAAATACCAACCAATGCGTGCACACGGTTTCTATAGGTGAGCGCTAGCACCATTGATCTTGTCCGTCGAAAAAGCTCTGCTTCTGGGTGGTCAAAAGCTCACGAGACAGCACACTAATTCCCTCCTGTTCCTCGACAACACTGATACGAATAGACGCCAGTGACTTCAGCGAGGAATACGCCGCGCTCGCTAAGAACACGGATGGTTGATGACCCCCCCCCCTCCTTTATTTTACTGCAATTTACGACATATAGGAGCCCACACACCGCTTGACCTCCCATGCCGCGCCACCGTGCTCCCGGCTGGGAGGCAGCGATGCACGGTGGTGCGGCACTGGTGGTTGGGTCTGCCAAGTCACCACTGACACCTCCATGCAGCCCCCAAAGCTCCCTGGAGCGCCATTGCCAACGGACGCGAATTACCCTAGACTTTCGCCATACCACCGATACCAGCCACCCGCAGACCGCAGACCGCACCTCACTGGGCGAGACGGCGAGCTGCGGTGGCGCGGCACTGGTGGTTGGGCCGTGTAATGGGCCTACCTTGGCTCACTACTACGGCTTACACGTATGCGCACGTGTATGAGGAAGCGTAGGTTTCTTATACTTGAGTTAAGTATACTCGAGATCCACGAGTATACTTTAAATAAGATAAAGACTCCAAGTAGCGGGTTTTGGTAAAAGATGAGAACTGCTATTTTTGTTTTATGTTTCTGACTTCCTCTAAATGTAATATTCTAAGATAGGAACCTGCCAACGGCTGGTTGGCAGAATTCCAATGCTATGCATGTCGCTTCTTGGCTAAGAGATGATGCTCTCAGCCAATAGGAATCCTAAGTCTCTATGGACCACTCGTCGTGGTGGTCGTAAATGTATGTAGCCTTTGGTGTGTCTACACCAAGGTCGAGAAAGTCTTTCGAACCTCTAACAGACGTCGTATCTGTTCGAGTTACAAGTGACTGTAGCCAGTTGTGCGTGTAACCCTGTTACACCATCCCCCCCCTCAAGGTTAGACGCGTCGAGTCACGGCACGTCAATCAGGAAATTGACCATTCGTCAATTCTTCACGTTGGGAGAAAGAAAACTCGAGCTCATTCCGCAATGAGCTCGCCGCAGAAGAAGACCGCCGCCACAACAGAGGGTAACCTCTCTGTTGCTCATAACCATGAGCGCCAGCAGGCAAAGCGCGACGAGCTCGCTGCAAAGGCCGCGTCGGGGACAACTCAGTCGGAGATTGTCCTCGAAGGTTCCTCTGTAGTCAACGACGCCGTTGACTATGGGAGTGACGATGTAGAGATGGAAGAGGGCGAGGACTCTTCCAACATGCGCAAGGAGTCTATCGACAGTGATAGTATCGACCCGCATGCCGGGTCAAGACGCCATCGTGAAGGAGATGACTCGGACGCTTCGAGCTCGAAGCGTTCGCGCGGCGAGAGCGAAACTCCGCTCTCCGCTGCTGGGGCTTCAAGCTCCCCGCGTGAGGTGGCGTCTTCAAGTTCTCCGCGCGCCGCTCAGGCAGCGCGCGATCCGTGGATGCCGTCTGCGTCAGAGATCGCAGACCGTGTGCGCGACACTGTGCCTCCAAACGAAATCCCGCTGTACGTATGCAGCGGTATCAACGACGATGCTGTTGCGGAGGAGCAGCACTTTGATCCGTTAACGAATCAAAGGCGCGATTATTACATCGGGCTCTCCCACGAGCTCCGATACTTCTCCAGCAAGAAGACTTCTTCTCGCAGCAGAGTGCCTGAGTGGCAGGCACTTTGTCAAAGTTGGAACGCTTTTGTTGAGAACTTCAACAAGAGGCCGGCTGCTTACCGCGAGCGGGCTAAGCATGCCCGTGAACGCTTCGAGACATTTTCGACGCGCGGGCGGCTGGAGCAGCTCCACAGATCCTCTGTGGACGCTGGTATTCCATGCGCTGTGCCCGAAGGCCACCAGTGCACGTTGTGTCTTCCGGGTGCGGCGCGCTTGAGCGACAGCGACCTAAACGGGTACACGACGATTCGTGTACCTGCGAGTCTCAAGGATCTCCGTGCCAAGTTCTTGGCACGTGAGGAACGCGACGATCGTGGGGCCTCGGGCGCTGTAGGTGACCACAGCGCTCGCACTACCTTCGCGTCGGCAGTGCGTAGTGAGCTTCGTACTCCCTCACCATTTCCGGGACGTCCTGCAGCAGGACGTCCCGTGGCTCCCATGTATCTTGGTGGGGCGGAAACCCTCTCCAACGAATATGATAACGAACCGGCTGCCGGTTCGTTTTCGGGATACTATGGTTCACAATACGCTCAGTGTTGAGCCGCGGGCGTCGCGGATCGGAGGCGGCGGTGGTGGGAACACGCCCCGGGTATGGTCAACCTGGGGTTGACCTTGGCCCGACGCTCGAGGAGCGGGTCGCTGCTGTGGAACAGCTTCAGAGCCGTGAGTTCGCCGCTCTGAAGCAGGAGATGGCGACCTGAGAGCTCAAGTTGCTCAGGCCTCGCAGACCGCGTCGGACATCTCTGTCGACGTGGGAGGTCGCGTCGTGCGCTTGGGCCAGCGCGTTCACGCGCTGGAGCAGAGGTTCGCTCCCGCTGGGGCTTCCGCTTCGGGCCAGCCGAGCTAGGTGGCTCGTGCTGCCGGTATGGTTTCAGCCGCCCGACGTAAAAGGTCGGGTGGAGGCGCATGCTAGATGGAATATCTAGCGTGTAGGCGTTGCCATGCCGTGCCAACACCGTGAAAGACCCAATGAAGCGCGGAGCGAGCTTGCTCGCCCCGAAGTCGGAAACTGCATGTTAAGGCAGGTTTTGAGTTGCTAACAAAACCATGAACCCTTCTTGAATTCATTAGTGTTGCCCCGACCAACATTGTCTGCGTATTGCAGCTTCTGTCGACCGACAGAAGCTGAACTAGCGTCTTGGACAAACCGAATGACGGCTTGTCTGCGCTGCACGAAGTTGATTGCGTCCGAGCTGAACTCGTTCAGCTCGTTTCTAGCAGTAGGCCCGGCCTCTGCGTTCGTCTTCGCGGTGTCTGTGCCCTGCACAGACACGCTCTTCTTCTTCTTCTTCTTGTCAGTGTCTGTGCCCCGCACAGACACGCTCTTCTTCTTCTTCTTCTTCTTCTTGCACGGAGTCGCGGCTGACACTGTGCAAGTGTCAGCGGCATTCTGCGGCTGCTGCGTTGCAGTCGTAGATCCTCCCCCAGTTAAGGAAGGAGCCACCAGCCCGAGTAGACTCGGGAGGCGTGGGTGCCTGATGGCATTCACGTAGAACGGTGTATGCCCGGTCGAGGCATGCACCGAGTTGTTGATGGCGAACTCCGCCATCGGCAGACACTCGTTCCAGTGTTGGAACGAGTGAGCGTAGCTCTTAAGCACGACTACGAGCACGCGGTTCACGCGCTCGGTCTGCCCGTCCGTCTGCGGATGGTCCGCAGTCGACATCGAAAGTTGACTCCCAAGAAGTGTAAACACTTCTTGCCAAAGGTGTGCAGTGAAGCGCGGGTCCCGATCCGACACAATGTCGATCGGCATACCATGGTGTTTGAACACCATGTCAACGAACAGACGCGCCGTCTGCTTCGCAGTCACTTCAGCGGGAACAGCAGCAAGATGTACCATCTTGCTGAAGCGGTCAACAAAGACCACAACGCCCGTGTTCCCCTGGCTGTCCGGGGGAAGACCGAACACGAAGTCCAAAGACATGGACTGCCAACACTCTCGTGGAGTTGGCAGTGACTGCAAGGGAGCCTGCGCGAAAGGCGCAGGCTTCACACGTTGACAAACCTCGCAAGCACGGACGTACTTGCGCACCCATTTATACTGGTGGGCCCAGTAGAAGTCTCGCGTGAGAAGAAGGTATGTCTTCTCACGGCCCGGATGCCCCGCAGTCGGTGCATCGTGATACTCGTACATGATCCTGAGTCGCAGGTCATGGTCATTGGGCACGACAACGCGGTCTGGGTTGTCGTCGACTGCACGGTAGAGTAATAACCCGTCGTGCACCCGGTAACGGTGTGCACGAGCACGAAGATGCTTCGGCAGCTTCTGACGAGCTTTGTCAGAAGGTGCTGAGCCGTAGGCCAGCAAGAGCTTCGCGTCCGCGTCGTGCGCGTACGCGACCTTCACGTCGTCCATCAGTGACGACGTTGGGGTGCTCGATCGCATGGCGTCAATGACATTGACGTCGGCATCAGTCGTGACATAGTCAGGTCGACGCGAGAGCGCGTCGGCCACCACATTGAGTGTTCCGGGTTTGTACTCAACCCGGAAGTTATACTCTGCGAAGAATGAGAGCCATCTCGCCATCCGTTGCGAAATGTGCGGCGACTTCACAGCCGTCCGCAACGACGCGTGGTCCGTATAGACCACGAACGGTTTGCTTCGGAGTAGATGCACTCGGAACTTCGCGAGTGCGTACTTCATGGCAAGAAGCTCCTTGTCATGTACCGGGTAGTTGCGCTCAGCTGGCTTCAGCTGACGCGATTGGTAGTAGACGACACGATCATGACTCTCGTGATCGTGCTGCATCAACGCACATCCGATTGCGAAGTCGGATGCGTCACACACAACGTGGAACGGGCGATCTTGGTTGGCCACCGCCAAGATCGGCGCCTCAGTCAAGCTCCGCTTGACTGCATCGAATGCCTGCTGACACTCAGCAGTCCAAACCCACTCGGCGTCCTTCTTCAGGAGCTGTGACAGCGGGCGTATCATGCCCGCGTAGTCCTTCACGTACTTGCACAAGTACGTGGCCAAGCCAAGGAACTGCCGCAGTTCCTTGACGTTCGACGGCGTCGGCCACTCATTGATCACTCTGACCTTCTCAGGGTCAGGGCGGACACCGTTCTTACCAACGAGACACCCGAGCACGGGTATCTCGCTCGCCCCGAAGATGCACTTCTTCAGGTTCGCATAGAGCTTGTGCTTGCGCATGAGCGCAAGCAGCTTCCGGAGATGCACCTTGTGCATCTCAACATCGCTCATCCCGTCCGCAGCCCGGCTGTGGACGAACACATCGTCGAAGTAGCTCGGTGCGAAGTCGCGCACCGAGCGCAACAAGTGCGTCACGCACCTGTTGAAGGTCGCAGGGGCGTTCTTCAGACCCTGCGGCATCGCCAGCCACTCCCAGAGCATGCCACCCGGCGTGCTCACAGCCGTGAGAGGGATATCGCTCTCACGCATGAGGATCTGATAGAACCCATCGCGCAGATCAAGAGCACTGTAGATAGTGCTCCTGGCCATCGAATTGATGATGACATCTTTTCGCGGTATCGGTGTCAGCGCCGGTATCGTCGCATCGTTCAGCTTGTTGTACGCATGAACGATGCGCCAACCGCCCTGTGGCTTCTTGACACAGAACATCGGAGCACTGTGCGGGGATTTCGATTCCCGCACTTGTCCAGCTTTGCGACGACTCTCAAAGGAGTCGTCGATCGCTTTGACCTGCTCTCGCGGCAGTGCCCACTGCCGCGTGACACAGTACTCCGTCCCCGGCACGAGATCAATCTCGTGCTGGATGCCCTTATCCTGCGGAAGCTCCGCAGGAATCTCTTCCGGAAGTACGTTCGCGTACTCCCGTAAGATCTCGTAGTAGGGCCTCGTTTTCAACGAGTCCCAGCTCTGCTCTTCAAAGCGCTCCTTCTTCGTCTTCGCACTGAGAGTGTCCTCGCTCTCAATGGTGCTCTCCCATGAAGAACTGTCTCAGTTCTTCATTCTCGCTCTTCGTTCTCTCGGCGTCCGAGAGAATGCATATTTGCTCGATGCGTCCATCGTGCAAGTCACGCGCGAAGCGCTTCCAGCTCATGACTGGAAGCGAAGTCAACTCCGACGCTTGCGTCGGAGGGTTAGCGAGAGTCATCTCCCTGTACCGGAACCCGGCACAGGTACGCGTCAAGACGTTCAACGTCTCGACGTCCGGCTTCTCTGCCTCCGTCTGCCCGGGAGACATTTCTTGTAGCGTCTCGACCCCAGGCCGAGACTTGCGCAGCGACCTTGGCATGCGCCGTCTTCTTGTCCTGCGGAGCCCGGCTCCGCATGACTCTTGACCTCGTCCAGGCCCAGCCGTGGACGGGTGTTCTTCTTCAGTACCGCCGGCGGGTTCATCCCGCGGGCGAGCGACTTCAAGCCCGGCTTGGTCGCCCGGCGCTTCGTCGTGCAGCCCGGCTGCACGACAGCATGCAAATTTTTAAGGTGCGGGACGTTTGCAACCGTCCGCACCGCTTGCAGCGTCAACTCGCGGAGTCGACACGCCATCTTTACCTCGACGCCTGTTATTGGCGGAGCCCTCCATTACGGAGGGTGCGTCGGCTCCCCGAGCCGACGAATCAAATTCACCCAAGCCATCGACTCCCGGAGTCGACGGCGTTTCGTCACCTTGGCTCTTATGATTGGCCAAAAGTGATCCAATCAGATTCGCGTCAGCCTCCACGGCTGAGGCGTGTGACTCGCCTGCGTCATCCGTACCCGTTGAGGTCGGAGACTCTTCCTGATTCGCTGAAAAGCGGGTGTCGACCTCCGAGGTCAACATATTTCCATCATTAGCTGTCAGCGGCAACGCCGACGCTTGCTGCTCTTGCGCGCGTGCTCGCGCGCGCCCAGGGCGCTCCGGGACAGCAGCATTAGGCGCTGTCTCGAGTGGGGAGTCGCGCGCACCTGTCGGTGCGTGCGTAGCGGCAACAGGGCCATCGCTCACTCTTCCGCTGTCGCGACCGAAACGCACGAGAGTGCGCTTCTCCCAATCGATGACCGGATCATGTCGTGCAAGCCACGGCATGCCCAATACAATGTCAAACTTATCGTCCAGATCCAGGACGATAAAGGTCTCGACAAACTCTTGATCTTCATACGTGAAGCGCACGCGTACCATGCGCTTCTCGGTCTTTACGATGGCACCCGTTGCCAGTCGTACTTCCAACATACTTCGAGGTATCTTTAAATCCTCGAAATCAAGCCTTGATAGACTTCGCAGTCGAACAAAGTTATTCGACGCGCCCGAATCAACCAAAGCACGAAGAGAGTTGCTCACGTTTAGCTTCAACGATTGCTCGCGCGGTGTCGTCCCCGACGCCACCGTGATAGAGGAAGCAACATCATGCTGCTCCTTCATGATGAACCCCAGAGCAACACCATGTTGCTCTGTCGGCGATAGCGTACGCAGCATTGCAGCTACAGCCGCTTCTCCAATGACTGTTGACAGTCGTTGGAGTGCCTCCCACTCTGGATCCGACAGGTGGAGGCAGTCAGCGCGTGCAACATGAGCTGCAGGCGAAGTGGAGCTTTCCATGGGCACGTATCCATGAAAAGGTTCTCGGCTCCTCGTTCGTACAGCTCCGTACGAACGTTCAGGTAGTCGGTCGTTGGACGGACTACAAAGTGCTACCAGGTGTAGTAGGCCTGCCTTGGCTCACTACTACGGCTTACACGTATGCGCACGTGTATGAGGAAGCGTAGGTTTCTTTTACTTGAGTTAAGTATACTCGAGATCCACGAGTATACTTTAAACAAGATAAAGACTCCAAGTAGCGGGTTTTGGTAAAAGATGAGAACTGCTATTTTTGTTTTATGTTTCTGACTTCCTCTAAATGTAATATTCTAAGATAGGAACCTGCCAACGGCTGGTTGGC